TATATATATGATATATATATGATATATGATATATATATGATATATATATATATGATATATATATATATGATATATATATGATATATATATATGATATATATATATATGATATATATATATATGATATATATATATATATATAATATAATATATATATATAATATATATATAGGTTATCATATAAGGGATGAGGTGATATCAGTTTTATCGCTCGAGGGATGATATCACAATTGTCACGAGCGAGCGCAGTGAGCGAGGGACAATTGTGATATCGTCCCGAGAGCGATAAAACTGATATCATCGAATCCGGAGTACGATAACCTATTTATTATATACTTGTACCTTTATCAGGATTTGACACTCAAAAATAAACAGTTTTGATTTTTGAAAAAATAGGATCATTTTAGAATTCAAAACAATTCATCATTTACTGAACAAATATGATTTTAGAAAATAAATAGACCATTCATATAAATAATATACAATTTAAGTCTTTCATTTTGTATTATCGTTCTTGTTTTCTTCGATAAACTCTCGGCATCAACCAACACGAACACCTCGAATCGGCCATCTTTGTTTTGACAAGTCGCGAAATTTAGCGGGACAAAAAACGATATCCGGGACAAAAAACGATATCCAGGACGATATCGTTTTTATGTCCCGCTGCTTCCTACCTGATAAAGGTACAAGTATGTGATAAATATATATATATATATATATATATATATATATATATATATATATATATATATATATATATATATATATATATATATATATATATAGTTATATATATATATATAGTTATATAGTTGCTGCCGCAGCGAGCGAGCCTGAAGCGAGCGAGCAAGGCAGCAGATCCTAATTTTGTTTTGTGGGTCGAAATCAAAATTTTCTATTTGGCGCATTGCATGACGGTACCAGTGAATTTTAACCGTGGTGCAGCGCGGTCAGGCATAAGGCAAACAGGCAATGTGATCATGTTTCATCTTTGGTCTTCTTTTATGGAAAGCCATAGCTGGCTTAAAGTGATCAAACGGCATTTTGTTGGGTGCTTTTAGCATTATACACGGTGCTTTCGCCATTATACGCGGTGGTTCCAGTATTATACGCGGTGCTTTCACCATTTATATACGCGATGCTTTTGCAATTATACGCAGTGGTTCGAGCATTATATGCGGTGCTTTTAATATTATACGCGATGCTAGCTTTCATTCAACATTATTTCCATATTCTTTCCATGACATGTATATAATTTAACGATTGCTTAAATTTGGTATGTGCATGGTTGACAAATGCTTTTTGCCTATGGTCTGCAAGGACAATGACATGCTTTTCTGTGTATATACATGTAAATGAATATAACGCAGCGAATGCGCCAAACAGTATAAACGCGGCTGAAATACGATATTAAAATCTTAAATGTGCCGTATGATTTTTTAATTATGTTTTAGAATTTACAAATGCTTTGTCATTTGTATTTATACTTGTACTGCATCACAAGGCAGTACGTACAGTAAGTGAAAAAACTCCACATGTGAGATTGTCTTGTATATATTTTTGCTTTCTTTGATAAACACTATTAAACACGCAAATTTTAATTAGTGAGACGCAATGTTAAATGTCACCTGCATGTCATTGTCATTGCCCTTTAACCCCTGGTCTAATTGGCCGCTTTTGAAAATATTGATCATGACGAACCGCACTGTTTTAATTAAATGCAAACTTTGTGTTTTAAAAACGGGTTAGGATAAAACACGGATACGGACGGACGGATGAATGACGGACGGACTGGACGGATGACATATATATGTCGTTATATAGTCTGCGCACAGCCGCGCAGGGTAGTTAGTGCCTTACGTCTTCGCTGGTTGTTATACTTTAAAATAATTTTGTATGTACCAAGAAATCAATATTCCGAGTATATAAATATATAAACTGGGATGTCACACTGATAGCTTGTTTACATTTCCTGGAGCATCATGAAATATTATGTTTAACAAGGTGGTTTAACCCATTAACTGGCAATGCGCCCTTCCCTTGTCGAGCGCCAGAAGATTTTACTCGTCAGTGGTATAGGGTAATGCCAGTAAATGAGTTAACAAACCTATCTGCCAATGGCTCTTGTTAATTCATCAGCACAGTAATGACCCCTACTTTAGTATTTACCCTGTCCAACGCCAGACGATTTTTAATACTCAGTCAGTGGTAGGGTACTGTCAATAAATGGGTTAACAAGGATAACAATAATTAGCCTGCATGGCAGGCGGTATTTCCCAGGCTTGCCCAATTTTAGGAACCGCCTGCCATGCAGGCTAAACAACAATAGGATGTTCCCGAAGGACTCGTTCAACACCCTGTAGTTTGTCTTTTGCTGTCAAAGGCAGCATTACTGCCCTGTGGGTAACCTAGTCCTACAATATTCAGACATGCAATATAAGTGTCGTGTCTGGCCTTTCCTGCTTATATATAATTCCTGCTTATATAAATACCAACCATGCAGACTGAGATAAATTCGGTGTCTGAATTTCAGACACCAAAAACGGTTTGACTTTGTCAAAATCATATATAAATACCAACCATGCAGACTGAGATAAATTTGGTGTCTGAATTTCAGACACCGAAAGTGGTTTGAGTTTGTCAAAATCATATATAAATACCAACCATGCAGACTGAGATAAATTCGGTGTCTGAATTTCAGACACCGAAAACGGTTTGAGTTTGTCAAAATCATATATAAATACCAACCATGCAGACTGAGATAAATTCGGTGTCTGAATTTCAGACACCGAAAACGGTTTGAGTTTGTCAAAATCATATATAAATACCAACCATGAAGACTGAGACAAATTCGGTGTCTGAATTTCAGACACCCAAAACGGTTTGAGTTTGCCAAAATTATATATAATTACCAACCATGCAGACTGAGATAAATTCGGTGTCTGAATTTCAGACACCGAAAACGGTTTGAGTTTGTCAAAATCATATATAAATACCAACCATACAGACTGAGATAAATTCGGTGTCTGAATTTCAGACACCGAAAACGGTTTGAGTTTGTCAAAATCATATATAAATACCAATCATGCGACTGAGACAAATTCGGTGTCTGAATTTCAGACACCGAAAACGGTTTGAGTTTGCCAAAACAATCATATGTAATACCACCTAGAGATAGGCCTACAGTGTAGCTGAATTTCAGACACCGAAGTCGGTTTGAGCTTGTCAAAATATATTTTGAGATATATTTTAGGTAGGCTACTAGCTGAATTTCAGACAGCGAAACCAACCATATAAATTAGCTATAGCAGAATTGCAGACAGCGAAATCGGTTCGAGTTTGTCAAAATTTTAATATAATATTAACCAACCATTATATTTTGTATAATATTCAGACATGCAATATAAGTGTCGTGTCTGGCCTTTCCTGCTTTGCCATCTTTAAGATCGCTTATCTTGCAAAGGAAAATAGAAAACATTTTGTGAAATAGCTAAGCGGCAAGGTTGTCGTTTGTTCATATATCTTCACAGCATGAGTGTAGTTGAATATTCACACTAAATATTTCTGACTAGCCATGCCTTTGCTATGTACAGTGGCTGTAAACAATAATGAACTAGAAAAAATATGAATAAGGTGTCGACGCGTTGAAAATAAACTTAACACAGAGATAATTTACTATAGTTAAATGAAGTGTAATGCATTTGAAGGTCTTGAAGAGCCTATATATATATATATATATATATATATATATATATATATATATATATATATATATATATATATATATATATATATATATATATATATATATATATATATATATATATATATATATATATATACACTGTTAATTTTAAGGAGTTGATACTACTCCAAAAAAGGAGTAAAAAAAAAAGGTACCAGTTGACTCTGTTTTGGGAGTATATTTTACTTCATGATTTTGACTCCATTTTTAGAGTACGTTCTACCCTACTAATGGAGTAATATTTACCTTTGCAGGAGTAAAAAATACTCTAGTTCAAAACTTCACTCTCATTTTGGAGTTAAAAGTAACCCAAAAGTGGAGTAAATTTTATTCCTACGAGGGGTTAAAAATACTCTGATTTAATTTTACTCTAATTTTGAAGTCAAAAATATACCAAAACTGGAGTAAATTTTATTCCTTACGGACGTGAAAATTACTCTACTGTAGAATTTACTCTTATTTTGGAGTCAAATATATACCAAAACTGGAGTAAATTTTATTCCTTACGAGGGTGAAAACTACTCTACTTTAGAGTTTTACTCTAATTTTGGAGTCAAAAATATACCAAAACTTGAGTAAATTTTATTCCTTACGGACGTGAAAATTACTCTACTGTAGAATTTTACTCTTATTTTGGAGTCAAATATATACCAAAACTGGAGTAAATTTTATTCCTTACGAGGGTGAAAACTACTCTACTTTAGAGTTTTACTCTTATTTTGGAGTCAAATATATACCAAAACCGGAGTAACTTTTATTCCTAATGAGGGTGAAAACTACTCTTATTTAAAATTTTACTCATATTTTGGAGTCAAATATATACCAAAACTGGAGTAAATTTTATTCTTTATGAGGGTGAAAACTACTCTACTTTAGAATTTTACTCTTATTTTGGAGTCAAATATATACCAAAACCGGAGTAACTTTTATTCCTAATGAGGGTGAAAACTACTCTTATTTAAAATTTTACTCTTATTTTGGAGTAAAATATAAACCAAAACTGGAGTAAAGTTTATTCCTTATGAGGGTGAAAACTACTCTAATTTAAAATTTTACTCTCATTTTGGAGGCAAAAATAGTAAAAATGCAACAAATAAAAGAACAAAATTTTAATAAACATATCATAAGTACAAGGTCAAGGATTATAGTATCTATAATTATTTAGCTAGTAACGCTATATAAAAACTTACATCCATTACGGTATTACCAATACTGCATGTTAATTGCCTAGATAATCACCTAGCTCAGTTCAATGTCATTCCAATTCTTGCAAGAATTTATTTATTGCAACTCTCTTCTTGGCTTCTCTGGTCCTCTGCATCATTGCTGTTTCCAGGAACAGGAACACATTTTTGCACGAGGCTGGGTACTCAATGTTAAAAACATAGAAAGAACTTACAAGCAGGCCCAATGCATTTATCATTGTGGTTGAACTGTTTAACTTCAGTAAGATCTTGCCCTCTCCAGCAATATACAATGGCTTTATATTGCCAACATGGCCCGCACCAACAAGTCTTGGCGTCACTGAAGCTTGAATCTCGTCATCAATACATTCATTGTCCTGTTTGAATTTAAGCAAAATTTACAATATGTAATGGATATTGGACAACAGATCTCGTTGGGGGTAAGCATAGATATTATAAATAACATTAGAGGGGGCATTGTAATGTTAGTTCGGTTAAAAGGGGAATAATGCCGAAATTGTGCCATCATTGGTGAAAAATTTTAAATTGGCCAATGAAATCATGTCTTTACGCACTAGACTTTAGAGAAGTTAAAATTTTAATAGACACCGGACTATAATATTCCCAGAGGTTTCCAACTGATCCAAAAGCCAGAACCAGCAAACAATTTTTAAAAAATAAAGAAATTTTTAAACTTACCCTGCAAATTTTCAGTAGTTCGGTAGTGGCTGCTCGCTCTTTCATCAGAATTGGTAGAATTACCACTGCTGTAGTTTCCTTCACATCTGTTGAAAATGAAATTAACAATTGGTTTTATTGTAATATATAACTGCAGTTTTGCCATCCTAAAATAAAACCTTTCCTTTTTCCCTGGAAAAAAAAAATAACCGACTTGTTTACATTGACCATTGTCCACTACTGTTTACAGATTGGTTCAAAACAGCCATACGTACCTGATTCAATTACATTGTCGTCTGTACTCGCCTCATCCTCTAACTGTTCTAGGGTTGCTTTACAGCACAATTTCTCGCTCGCCAGTTTCAGGATCTTTTCCAACCAGTTTTCCCTGAACTGGTAAACCATGTCTTTGAGACAACCATTCTTCTCTGTCACCCGGTCAAATTCAGCTTTAAGCTAAAAAATGTTATTTTGAATTTATTTAATTCACTTAATTTTCTTATTCTTTATCCACAGGGCCTTTCAGAGGGGTGGCACGCGGGGGAGGGGAAGCCCCCTCCTCAAATTTGCAAAATAAAAAATAATTTGGAACGTTTTTTTATATAAATAATGGTGTGAGAAAATATTTTTCGAATTTCCTTGATAGGCCCTGTTTATCCATCAACCTAATAAAATGAATAAAGATATGATAACATGACATTGATCTAGGGAAATATAACTTTTACATATACTTACTTCAGATGCAAGACCAAGTGCGGGATACTCTTTAATCAGAACATCAATTGCTGTTGGTTGCAACAAAATGGACTGCCTTCTATGTGAATATGTTAGTTCCATCAAATTCTTTATCAGCGCCATTTTTCTATATGTGGTTTTCTTCATCTCTTTCTTCATCAGGGAGATGTGCTCTTTGCAGGTTTCCTCTGTCTCACCTTCTGTTATCTCGGGCAATTTTCCACTGTCCATTTTCATTTTCTTTGGCTTCACTTCGTCGGGACGTTTGGTTGTGGGCGTGCTTCGCTTTATGCAAGGTTTAGTTTTCCGTTTATTCTTCAGATGATTTTTTATTGCCTGTTCCCATGAACCCTACAATAATATAAAACAGTTTACAAAATCTGAATGTTAGGTCTATTTCAACTTGCTGTCTGTTACCTAGGGACTAAAATATGGACTAAAACATTGACAGACACAAACAAGTCACAATTTACCACTTTGGTTGGTTAGTTTTACAGGATTTAAACTACCTGTATTGAGTCCACATCAAAAGTAAAGTTTCAATTAATAGTTTACATACAATTCCAGATCCCAATTTGTCAGCCAAAAATGGGTATTTTTTTATGACCAACATTGCGACATGTTCCCTCTCTGTCTTGGTTGGATACAATGTATGTGCCCGGATTGAGGAGCATTCATCTCGTGTGAACTCATTCCTAACTCGGCTGGTCATTTTTGTCGTTTTCAGGCCATCAGTGACTTCTTTCGAGAACTATAAAATAAACAAAAGTGTAATTTTATATCATATAGCGAACATGATTACACTGTATATTACTCTCCATTTCAATTTGCTTTTCAAAACTGACTTCCAATGTTTACTTGTAAATTCGAAATGTTTGTTGCAAAGTTCCGAAGTTTGTTCCGATGATTTACGATAATCAAGTTTAGTAAGTTGTAATTGGCTAGTTAAGTGAACCAGCCAATCAAATCGCTTGCTATTGAATCATCGTAAATCATAGTAATGAACTTCGAAACAAACTTCGGAACTTTACAACGAACATTCCAAATTTACAAGTAAACATTGGAAGTCAGTTTTGAAAAGCAAATTGAAATAGATAGTAATTTGGATAAACAACATCCTTAAAAACTAGCCTTTTGGCAACCACCTTTAGCATCTGCTCATGCTAGATGCCAACGTTTTATTATTCAAGCCTTTAGAAAACCATGTAACCTAAATCTAACCTAATACCTAAAAATAGCTGTGGTTCTAGTTTCATATCGCGAAAAAATTAGGGTAGGTAAGGTAGGTAGGTTTGGCATGAGTAGCCTGCAACCACCTGGAGAAAATAGGGTTGCACAATCAATCGAGTTGAAAAAATTATAGGTTCGGCAGAAAAAATAGGGTCAGTCGGGTAACCGGAACCACAGGTATTTTTTTAGGCCTAATAGGCATAGCTGGTATTAGAGTCTTTAAAGTTTAACCCATTGAGTCGCATTGCACCCTGATGCACCCTACTGTAGTGTTTTACTCTGTCTAATGCCAGACGATTTTACTCGTCAAGGGCGCCAGCGCTCTGAGGCGCATTGCACCCTGATGCACCCTACTTTAGTATTTTACTCTGTCTAACGCCAGACGATTTTACTCGTCAAGGGGAAAGCACTGGCGCTTAATGGGTTAAACCCTATCTCAAATTCAGTAAATTTAAACTTTGGTTGGAAAACAGTAGACCGTTATTTTATACAAGCTATAAAATAACAACCAAGGGCAGATTTTCATTTTTTTTTAAAGAATGGGTGGAAAAATTTCTAATGGGGTGCAAGCAACACCACTGAGTGAGCTTTTTACAAGGGTTAGGCATTAATTAGGGTTAAAGACTAGGGTCACACACATTAGGCGGGGTGAATCAAAATTTTGGTGGGAGAGATTCTAAGAGGGGTTAACCCCACCCAGTAAATCCGCCCATAATAACAACGGTATTAATATATTGTATATACACTTTGAGAACACATTTTATGAATTTAAAATAATCAAATTTATATTGCATCACAATGCAACATACCATGCTTGGTAATTCAAAATTCTGAATCCATTGAGCATTATTTTTTCAAACTTCAGTTCCAGAAGAAGAGGAAGCTGTTTCATGAAATACCATCATAGGGCTTGATGAGTGGGAATTGCATTGTTGGGGTGAAACTGGCAGCGAAGGAGAGCTTCCATCTATAGATCCAGAGTGTGAGCTTTTTGGTGTACAAGGGGCAGAGATGCATTCCGATACTGAAGGATCAACCTGCAATATTGCAAAAAAATAGATTTAACAAACCATTTACACTAGCAGACATTTTATACCTCATACTTACCAAGCCTAAAAAGCAACCAGACATTTCATTTTAGACCTCGCCCAAATTCCTTATTCTTGAGTTATAACCCTTGTCTAATGGTCTCCATTTCAACAAAATAATCTCACTATCTTCTCAATTCTCAAGAGATTGCTTGCAAGTCAAGAACACATACTTAATTATATGTCCTTGATTTAGTTGATTACAATTATAATTTACCTGATTTTTATATTTTTGGATTGCAATCCTTAATTTCACAATCTGCCCTCCTTTTATCCCCAGTTCTTTCAACAAAACATCACTACTTTCTTCAAGCAACTCAATTGTGTTAAGCTGTGAAAATAAAACAGCCATAGTCTATAAAAATGTTACTATTAAACTGATTAATTTTGTAACATAGTTGGCATGCATGCATGCTAGTAGTCTGCCACAATCAGACATGAATGCACAATTGCACATGTACAGCAGGTAATCCACAATGGCAATTGCTAGATAGTATACTTCAAAATAAGATTTCCATTTTTATATCAATTTTTAAAATAATTTAGGGTTAGGTTAGGGTTAGGTTGGGGTTAGGGTGAGGGTTAGTATTAGGGTTAGTATTAGGGTTAGGGTTTAATTTTGCGTTAGGATAGTTTTTTCTACGTTATAAAAACGGAAACCTTATTTTGAAGTATACTATCTAGCGATCACCAATCCACAATTGAAATAGAGCATTGAACTATAAATAACATAGTTATTTATAGTTCAATGGTATAGAGTAAACAAAAACAGAAATACGGTTGTAAGGTATGGACTTTTGTTAATGTTTGTATCAGGCCTATCATTTATTTATACGCCTGATCGCAGGTCAATGGTCAACCACAATGCATTGTGCGCCCAAATCTGGCTGCAGCTTGGCAGCAGTAAAAAGATGAATTAACTGTTTTCGATCCATTGAAACCACTCTATGGCTATGGTTTATATACTGGCTCGGTTTAACTTTTCTATACTAAAAATGCACCAAAGTAATGTTTATAATTGTCATTTGTTTCTATTGAATCACTCCCAAGTAAACAGATGCATTGTCGTTGATAGTATGTCACTCTGACAGTGATATATTATTAAATATATGTGATCGATACCTCGACTTTTGTTAGTTTGTCCAGCACATTTTGGCCGACTCCTGCACTCAACAAAAACTCAGACAATTCTAGGCTCATTGGTATTCCCTAAAACGAATAAAATGTCTTTGAACTAAGAAAAATATTAAGAAAATACACATATAATTGAAAAATTTATAGACGCCGTATAAAGACGCGCACGAGGACGCATGGGGTCAGAGAGTCAACTTCGCTGGCATTTTTTACCACCAATGACCAATCCTTCCCGTAGAAACAAAATAATTTTCACAGTACCTCTAAAACTGAATCCATTCTCTGTATTTTGTTCCTGATATATACTTCACGCAGTAAACGAAAATATTAAACGCAGTTGACGATAATTTCAAGACTTGCTTTCATGAACACGAAGGAGAAAAGAATTTTGGATACGGCGCGCGCAATGCTTATTGGGTTGTTCGTATTGTCACGTGATGTTCAAAGAGGCTCATGATTGGATGATCAATCGCGTGTAATGATGACGTATACAAAGTAGAAATGAAAATACAGAAGGAAATTGGGATGGAAACACTGGATATGAAGAAAGCCCTTCTAAGCCGTGTCAATTTATATAAAAGTCTATTTACAAAACCAATGATGTAGTTTTATTTTTATACGGCGTATGAACTGAAATAGAAAAATGGTTTATCGTTGTAGCATGTGTGTTGGTTACCTTACTGTCTCCTTACCAGAACTCCTGGATCACCTGCGTAGAAGTCATTCAAATTACCCAAATTTTCATGTGCTTTGTGGACTCGATGGCTGTCCCAGAACATACAAACGAGTTGTATCTTTTCGAAATCATTTAATTCGAAAACACAACATTTATGGAAAGGAAAACGAGCCAGTTATAAACAACGACGAGAATCCTAGGGATATGAACATTGACGGTGAAAATGATCCCGCCATACAAGAAAATGATGCTGAACCTGCACATGTACTTGTTGAAAATATGCAACGAGATAATGCTCTTTGCCTTTTTGGTTTCAAGCTTTTTGGTCTCTTTTGTATTTATGATTATACGTAAAGTTTAATAATATTCCCAATATTATGATTTCACTTCAAGATTTCACTAAGGTTATATACTGTATTCTGTATATTTTTATATAATGTCATTGTGTATATGTTGTCTGTGTTGGTCCTTTTAAAAAACATGTGAATGAAACGTTTCCTGAATAAATATTATTTTATTCTATTATAAATATTAAACATGCATCATGTCTCGGGTTCAAGATTGGAACTTTTTATGCAACAGTCAATGTAAATCCTCCCCCCCCCAACCGGGGAGGGGCAGGGGGTTTAGCGGGGAAAATGGTCAGTTTTGATTGTAAATATGTCCCCGATGATGGGGGACTTGGGCAACATTTTTTCTTTCGGTAGACAATGGGGGGACGAAAGCAGGGGAATGGATTCAGTGGTTAACATATATATCCTGTGTTGCTGTTTTAGTTTTCTTTACAAGAAAAGTTTAAATACAGTAACATTCAATGAATTTGATTTTCTATTGCTGATGTATGAAATATACAAAAATAATTTTCCCGGGGTTCAGAGACATGCAGGGATATTGATTAATTACCTTTTCCCAGGGGCGGGGACAATTTCGCTCTTTTACTACCCCTCAAAGTCAAAATCCCCGCTCCTCCTCGGTTGGGGTTGGTTCAAATTTGCACAGTACTGGACAAAGTTGGTATTCAAATTTGCCCAATACTGTGTAAATGTAACAATGAGTACAAACTTTTATTTGGTGTTATGTAAACAATTAGGGATGTGCCGGATACTGTTTTGTTAGATACCAGGTAGTAGTCTACCGGATACTGCATGCTGGTTATGGGAAAATGATAATCTGATAATACACGGATACCGGATAGTAATGGTAACACTTGGACAATACTTCACTATTGTTTCCCATAATACAGTCCAATGTTTGAATTATGTGCTTTATTTTATATCTTAGAGCAGTTTACAGTACATCTCGAAAACACTTTCTGCATTTCATGTATTTAGTAATTGTTCCTGTTTCATAATTTCTTGACACAGAAAAAAGACAAAGAACCCATTTTTCTTGGCTTCATGGTTGTAATAAAAGTTCCAGTATTGTCGGGTAAACATCAGGCCAAATTTTGACAAATACTGCCAGATGTCTATTTTTACTGGAGACTGATATCCGTATTCGGCACACCCCTATAAACAACCTAGAGCATGTATTTGGCCAAATTAATTGACTAGTGTAAAAATGGAACATTGCTAATTTCCAAAATCTGTTTTTTTTAATAAGGAACCCAGAAAGATAGTACTTCGTAGATATCATGTGAAAGTCAGAAGAGGAAGAAAACTCAAAGTAGTTGAGAAAACAGATGATGCATTTTACATTCCATTGCTAGAAAGTTTACAGCAGCTACTAAATGATGAGGCAATTCTGGAAGAGGTAACTTATTTAAGGGGTAACTTTGTTTTCTCTCAATAAATTTACAGATGAAAATGAACTCTCATTATGTTATATAGAAGTATATTGTCAAAACAATTTTTATTCCAAAACAACAATCTGTGAATGTTTTGACTTAGTTGCCCTTGTGATGTTTACATCACAATTTTGTTTCTGGTATTGACCCTCATGAGGACTTTTGAGCAAGTTGACTTTTGTACTGATACATAAGCAAGGCTCCAAGGCATGTGATGATGTAATTATCTAATTTTATTCTTTTTACACTCCAGGTGGAAAATTCACATGCCAGGGATGATGGGTATTTGAATGATTTCTGTGATACTGATTACTTTAAAGATCATCCTTTATTTGGTCTTGATCCATATGCATTACAACTTTTGTTGTATTTTGATGAACTTGAAGTTTGTAATCCTCTGGGATCAAGAGCTAACAAGCTAAACTTGGTATGATGTAGGCTATGTTATAGACTCGACATTGATTCCTCAATACAGTTGTGTGTTTCTGTACAGTGTCATTAATGCTATTGTGCTATTTTCTTTCGGGTCTTATAGTAGATGTACAAGTAGGTATGATTTGCATAATGCAATTTAATTACATGTACACTAACAGCAGTGTGAAATCGTAGCAAACAATGATATGTATTTCATATATGTGACATGTGCATGGCAAGTTTTTCACTGAAGTCGCATACTAGACTATACAATGAATCAAGCTTGAATCTTATATATAGTGTTTCAAAGTCATAATTTTAATTTCACTTTGGAGTTTACCGTTAGTCTGTAACTCATTAAAGTGAAATTGTGCCATTATTTATTGAACAAACATTTTCCAATCTATTTTTAAAATTTGCTAACTAAAAATAAAGAGAAAAACACAAGACACACCTTCTCTCTTTAATAGGAAAGAAGCTAGGCTTTAACAAGTTGTTGTATACACACCCTTTTTCTCATTCCAGACATCTTGTCTGACCCAAAATCAGACACATGGTTTCACACCATAAGTGCCACAGAATTTATTTATTTTGCTATATCTTGTTTAAGGTGCCTTGTACTACACACTTGGGAACATAAAACCATGCAATCGCTCTCACATGAATGCTATTCAACTTCTTGGTTTGGTAACTTGCAAACACTTGAAGCTATATGGTATCCAGCCTTTGCTGGAAGCATTTATGGAAGACTTACATAAACTTGAGCAGGTAATTTATTTATTTATTTAGCTTTACCAACTAGGGCAGGGTCACCACAACAGGTGAACAAATAAATAAACTGCATATGGCAATTACTGTGGGCCCTTTTACCTAACCCACCCTATCAAATTTCCCTGTGGAAGGAAACCCAGTGTACCCAGAAAAAACCGACGACTTTCGGCAGATTGTTACCCTTTTCACATGAGGACTGGGTTTGAGTTGCATTGAGAAAGTTCTCACTGAGGCTTGAACCTGCAACTTTATAGGTGAAAGGCAAGTGCACTAACCACTTCACCACCGAAGCCCCGACAAATTGAATGTGTGGTGCAGTACCGTGTTTTACATAATATTTAATGTTTGAATCTCTAATTTTTCCTACACTTGCTTGTAGGATTCTGGGTATACGTTTATCGTGGATAAAGAAGAAAGACATTTACGAGGAACTCTTGCGTATGTATCAGCTGACAATCTCAGAGCTCAATATCTTGGTGGCTTCAAGCAGGGATCCCAGTCTCACAGAAAATGCCGGGAATGTATGGGAATCAATGATCAAATACAATCAATGGTAAGAAAAACCTACATACACATGCAAAATTGTTATTGCCTTATTTTAGCATGTAATTAAATCATTGTACCATAGCCTTTTGTAAGAAGCTCATCCATTTTGTAGCTACAGTATATCGATTCTCAGTAAAATGTGATAATGGTATTATCAGTATTGTGAAAGACGTTTCACATACAGGGGGGGGAGGTGAATAGGTTTTCGGATCGTCGGATTTCACAGAAAAAATTGTCCGGATTTCGGATCTGGCGAATGTTTTACACATATTTCGGATGTTATTAAGAGTGAATGTCAGTAAAAATCGAACATATGAGACATTTCGCGGCCACGACTGAAAAATCGATTTTGCTCAAATTTTGCCCAGATATACCTTATTATATCGGAAAATGCACCATATATTTTTTTAGGTCAAA